ATATATATATATATATATATATATATATTATATGTATATATAATTATGGATGTTAAGGGAGGAGACGGTGATAGTGGAGGAAAATGAAGATGATTGCGCTGCATATTTATATATAAATACAACCTCTTCGTCACCAAGAGCGAATCCAATAATTTTTCGAAGAAGGGATAAAAAAAATAAATTTTTTGGTGGGCAAAATATTTTTGAAGAGTCAAAATATAATATTTTTGAAAAAAAAAAACCATATTTTTTTAAATTATTTTGTTGTGGGAGCAAATATCCCAATAATTTTTTAATAACAATTTTTAGATTAGTAATTTAATTTTTGGTTTTAATTCATCAGTTCATTTAGTTTTTAAAATTGTATTCCTTTGGTTACTAACCTTTTACGATAAAATTATAAAAATGATTCATAAGAAACTTTTTAAAAACAAAAAAGGAATCAAATTACCATAAATCCAAAAGTTAAGTAACAAAAAAATGTTTCATAACTATTATAACATAAATTTAGAAATTTGATGATATTTTAAAACTTAAAATGAATTAAATGACTACATAAATACAAATTCAAATGTTAATTAACTAAATATGACCTTAACTCCTATGATAATTGCAATCAATTAAAACAATGACAAATAATTTGTATTTTCGTACTTAGTTTTTGAAATACAATTAAAAAAATGGTAAATGATATAATAAATAATCTAATATGAACACAATATTATTTCCTTTATTTAACCGAAAAATATAGAAGTGGTGGATTTGGGATTTTGATGAGCATGTGGTTTGTTTTGGGAGCCAAAATCTTTGGAAACGGAGTTAAAGAATTAGGCATCTTTCTCACAAGTTTCTAGATCATATACGTTATTTATATTTTTTTCACGTTTTAATGGATTATGACGGATGTTTGTGAAATAAATAGTGTTTTTAATCAGCTTGTAGAGTGCTTAGTTAAGCTTGTTTAAGCTATTTTTTAGGTAATTATTCGTTTCGTATGGGTATAAACAAAAAAATAGATTGGATAGGACTAACTTATATATAAGTGATACCGGTAATAAATCAAAATCCATCAATTCTTACTGTTTGAGTTGATATCTGTGTGGTTTCTCATATCTTCATTTTCTTCACCTCTAACTTATTTTGATCTTCTTCACCTCTAACTTATCACTTTATTAAGTTGAAAATTGTTAATAAACTAACTTATCACCTTATAAGTTGAAAATTGTTTATGAATTTAATAAACTTAGCCAAACACCCTCTTAATTTAATTTGTACTTAGATTTTCTTTTCTTATAATATATTTTGACTTATTTATATAAATTAAACATAAATAAGGCCATATGTGGTTTTTATTCTTTAAGGTTGTAGATGGTGTTACATAACTTTTACCCATGGTAAGATGTGATGACATGTTTTACCGATGATGTACACTGCATCAGACCTATTTTTTCACCGTCGGTGCATTTCCACCTATAAAAATTGGGAGAGAAAAATGGCTCTGGGTCTTTCTCTCTCTCTATTCTCTCTCTTCTTTTGCCAATGGTGAAAACATAATACCACCCCTAGCATTTTTTTAAAAATCTCAAAAAATTGTAAAGATGTCACGCCAATGTACGTGGCCATTGGTAAAAAAAAAAGGGATGACACAATTTAGTTTTATGACATAATGATGTCTCATGTTATTTTTATAGTATTTATTTTTTTATTTCATTTGATATAAATTTCATATTTTAAGGAGTTAAAAATTTTAAATTGAGGAATAATAAATCATATTAAAATCTCTAAATTAATTTGAATTCAAAATTTAACAATAAATTAGGAATATAATATATTTCCTACGTTATTTTGATTTGGTAACCATGTATTTCATGGGTTTATAAGCTAATGATCCTAACATCTCTAAATAGATATAACCATTAAAATATAGTATTTAAACAAAAGTTTTAAATTTTATATAGTAAACAAACTTTGTTATCAATCTCTATGAAGGAATCATGAGGGACATGGCCATATAAGTCAAACGAAGATATATCAGTCTTTCAAAAGAAAATTTTAAATAAATAGATTATTGGCTAATATTATATAAAGAAATGATTTAAATGAGAAACTTATCCCTATTGTTGTTATGATTGCAAGTATAATCGGATTAAGATGAAATAAAATTAATATTGGAAAGAAAGAGAAAAAAGGTTGATGGGAAGTAAGCTCAGTATTGATGGAAGGATAACATCATCTTCAAAATCTGCTTTTGCTAAATGAATTTCACATGATTGATTTTTCAAGATGAACTATTTTGGTGTTTGTTTACTACATCTTGTTTCCAAGTTTTGTTAGCTTACATATGTTGTTTCTTTGATACATTTGGTTTTTGCCTAAGTTCAATCACCATGGTCCATAAGGGTTTTTTTTTTCTTTGATTAGTTGTTCATATATTTTTCATAAACGGTAAATCTAATCTATTTATATAAATTGTTTTTCAATTTCACACTTTCTTCATAATAAATGAAAATAATTTTACCACTTGTCATTTTTTTATACATTATACCATATGTCATTTTGTGGTAATTTTAGATTAAATTATTTATATGTGTCATTTTGCAGTTTTTTTCTATTTTATTAAACTTCAAATAATACCTAAATGTAATAAATGCAATGATAAATATATATCAAATTCATTAATGCAATTTTCCTTATAATTTTTTAATTTCTAAATATCTAAATTCAATCTAATTATTTTAGTAGTTTATTTATTTAAATTATTAGATTAAATTTAAAAGATAAATAAACACTTTAATTTTAAAAACTAAATATTTTTCTTTTTTTTCTTATAAATTTAAATTTTATAAATTTTTAGATATTCATGTTTATTTTTTTTTAAATTTTATCTGTTTGAAGAAGGTTCATAATTACTGCAAGACCTATTAGGATGCTGGTATATACATGATTGAATCAAAATAAATAACTATTTTACCCTTCTATTTGGAATTGATGTCAAATAACACATGACTATTCATTCAAGAAAAAGAAAAAAAAACTACACACACAAACAGTCAAGCCCTATATATTATAAATCTACCATAATAAATAAAGATATTTTTATCACATGTCATATCCTTATTCATTTTACCACATATAATTTTATGGTTATTTTAAATTAATTTTTATTCCACATGTTATTTTATGATTTTTTTTTCTATTTTATTAAATTACATATATTATTTAAATCTAATAATAAATGCATATCAATTTCATCAATTAACTTTCCTTCTAATTTTAAAATTACTAAATTAAAGTTTCATTAATTTCCTTTATTTATTTATCTAAATTATTTGTTTAAATTGAAAAGAGAAAAAAAAAACACTTTAATTTTTATAATTAAATTTTTTTTTCTTATAAATTCAAACTTCTCAGATATTTTGAATTTTATATTTAAATTTTCTTTTAAATGAACTCGTGTAATACATGAGTCTCACATATACTTATCAGTATTGTTGTTATGATTGCAAGTATAATCGGATTAAGATGAAATAAAATTAATATTGGAAAGAAAGAGAAAAAAGGTTGATGGGTAGTATGCTCAATATTGATGGAAGGATAACATCATCTTCAAAATCTGCTTTTGCTAAATGAATTTCACATGATTGATTTTTCAAGATGAACTATTTTGGTGTTTGTTTACTACATCTTGTTTCCAAGTTTTGTTAGCTTACATATGTTGTTTCTTTGATACATTTGGTTTTTGCCTAAGTTCAATCACCATGGTCTATAAGGGTATGTTTTCTTTGATCAGTTGTTCCATATATTTTTCTTAAACGTTAATCTAATCTATTTATATAAATTGCTTTTCAATTTCACATATCCTTCCTAATAAATGAAAATAATTTTACCATTTGTCATCTTTTTATACATTATGTTATATGTCATTTTGTGATAATTTTAGATTAAATTATTTACATGTGTCATTTTGCAGTTTTTTCTATTTTATTAAACTTCATATAATACCTAAATATAATAAATGCAATAATAAATATATATCAAATTCATTAATGCAATTTTCCTTATAATTTCTTAATTTCTAAATATCTAAATTCAATCTAATTATTTTAGTAGTTCATTTATTTAAATTATTAGATTAAATTTAAAAGATAAATAAACACTTTAATTTTAATAACTAAATATTTTTCTTTTTTTCTTATAAAATTTTTAGATATTAATGTTTATTTTTTTTTAAAATTTTATCTATTTGAAGAAGGTTCATAATTACTGCAAGACCTATTAGGATGCTGGTATATACATGACTGAATCAAAATAAATGACTATTTTACCCTTCTATTTGGAATTGATGTCAAATAACACATGACTATTCATTCAAGAAAATGAAAAAAAAAAAAAAACTACACACAGTCACACACAAGTAATCAAGCCCTATATATTATAAATCTACCATAATAAATAAAGATATTTTTGTCACATGTCATGTCCTTATTCATTTTGCCACATATAATTTTATGGTTATTTTAAATTAGTTTTTATTCCACATGTCATTATTGTCATTATTCCTTACATCATTGTCGGGATGGATATGAAATAGATTCATAGGACACAACACAACTCTTTCGTCTTCGTCACTTTTGATCCTTGAAACGTACCTTATTCAATTTACCAAATTCTTCATCTTATTTATTTATTTATTTTTAATTTATCAATATTATTGACACCTCCATTTCATTTTTAGCAATATCAAGATGATAAGATCCCTTTCATTGAAGTCTAATGCACTTTCAATGCCCCTATCATCAATAGACTCTATAACAATACATGTCTTAGTTTGCATTTTCGCACTCGGTTGCTAGTTTTGTTTTTGAGAAATTAAATATCCTCGTATGTTTCTTCTTAATTATTTTTCTATCAATTTGAAATAATGATAAATATCCTAAAATATCATCTAAATATAACACTTGTAAATAGGAAGAAAATATAAAAAGATAATTTTTTTTTTTGTCAAACCAATTATGCTAGGCAGTTTGCATTTTTAGAGCATACGGTGTGGGTCATGTTGGTTCTTGTTGTGGCTGAGTTGGCAGCGCATAATGTCGTTACAACATCAAAAACACCACCCCTCATTCTTGTTGCATCTTGTTGTGGTGGTTCTTGTTGCCTCCATGACAAGAAGAAATGTGATCATCTATTGGCTGCCAAATTATCTCTCTCCTCTTAACATGGTGTTATAACACCATGAACACCACCCCCTCATCTTGTTGTTTCTTGTTATAACACCACTTCAAGTTGCCCATACCACATAGTCTTAACGCTAAACTGCACCACATCATAGCCTAGCCTTTACTAGAATAGCGTCAAAATAAATTCATAATTAATGACTTTTTCAATCTTAAGCATTAGTCGTGGATAATTATAGATTAAATAGTAAATTACAGAAATGGTCCCTATAATTGTTGCACTGGTGGATCAACTTTATTTTTTCTTTTTCTAATAATATGGTCCTTATATGTCATTTGTTAATGAAAACATCCATGTGTGTATTGCCTTTCAAGTTCGTATATTGTATTTTTATTTCAATGGAATTAACAAAAGAAACTATGCATCCAAATAACAAAAAAAAAAAAGGAAAAAAGAATTAAAAATATGAGACCTAACTATGTTTGAAACTAACAGTACACATTTCATTTTGGTACTTACTCCACCGCTAGTCGTTGATTGGAAAGTTGAGTTCCATTATCTGGACGACAGATGACACAAAGTTAATCAGAATAAAAACAATATATAAATAAAAATAATTGTACTTTGTTTCTAGGCTTCACATGTTCTCTTGAAAGGTTTTTATCACAAAAAGGAACAATACAAACAAAAACTTTTTTTTTTTGCCCAAAGTTTTCATGATAAATAAATGGTATTGATTTGGACCCTAGAATTTCTTGTATTTGCATAAGGGTATTTTAGATATTTATCACATATATCAAACAACAATTTTCTTAAAACTATTTCTCCGAGTTAAAACGTTCTTGAATACCATATGAAAATTGTTCGAAATTGAAATTTGGACTAACCTGATCGCACACAGGACACGTATTACTTCTTTCCATCCATTCAAGAATGCACGCCAAGTGAAAATGATGCTCGCATTTTGTGATTATTTTTGGATTTTCTTCATCATATTCTGCGTAGTAGAAAAAGAAATTAAAAATCTTCCATAATCTCGAACCAATAGATTTGATTAATATAAGCATTTACCTTCAAGACATGTAGGACACTCCTCAGGGGCTACAAAAGGTGCATTTGACTTCTTGACTTCGCCATCATCTTCTTCAGTAGCAACAAGTTTGATATCAATTTGGTCTTTGCAATCAGATTCCATGGTTTCCTTAGCCAGATTTTCACCATTATTACTGATTTTTATATCTTCAATAGAATCAGAACTATTTGTTTGAACAAGAGGAGTTTGAGTTTGAGTTTGAGGATCCCCAACAATTGCTTCATATGGTAAAGGTGCTGGTGGGTGTCTGTAAGTGTCTGGTATGGAAGTGTCAAGATTTGTATCGACTAAAAGCCCTGTAGGAACAACAGAAGCTACACCGCTATGTACTGATAATGGCTGCCGATCCTCTGATACTACTGGATACTGTATAAGAAACAGAAATTTTGGAAATAGAAAACAGAGGGATCAAGGTACAAGATAAAAGACTTCACTAACATGATATAATCGGGGTGAATTGTCCCATTCTACACGGTTTGAAGAACAACAACAGCAGCCTCCCATATTTATTCACTTGTGTGTATGATCCAAGTACTTCTCATGGCTTTCTGTTCTGCAGCAAAGGAAACTGTGTATCAGTAGACTTTCATGAAGGGTTGCATAACAATGATCAAATAAACAGATCCTTATATCCATGGAAACAAGTATTTATTATATGTCGATTATGTAACAGAGTTGCAAAGTAACAAAGTAACAACTAAGAGCGTTTGAAGTTCAAAGAGAAATCACTAGTTATCCCTTAGCAAACGAAGGAAAGTAAAAACCATGAAGGTAAACGCACACAGAGATCATACAGATCATGATTAATCTAACAGCTTTCGTAAATCCAATTTCCTGATCATCCTACAGCATCTGATCACTCTAACAGTAGGAAAATTTTCAAACAATTAATCATTCACGCTTAATTCGATATACACCTGCTACTTTTACTCATCTTCGTAGATCACGATCAATATATAATCGATACAGGTGAACTAAAATATACACCGACTCAATGCAAAATCGTAAATACATAAAAACCCTTCTGAATTGTTGTCCATATGGACATAACCAATAACCAAAATCAGACCTTAAAATAACTTCACCCCTGCAATCAAACAAAGCAACCAGTAGCTCAAAATCAAACCCAATTCTGACAAAATTACACTATGAAAACATTAGGTAATTAAGTTTTCCCAGACTAATGAACACCAAAAACATACACACAGACACAGTAAGACGCTTTTATGACAGTGCGTACCTAAACTTGAGGGATTGAATCGGGTGGAGTCGTGTGGTTTCGGCTCAGCGGGAGAGACGAAATGGAAATGGTGTGGGATTCCGTGTAATGACGGAATTTGAAAAACAATAGAAAATAAGTGGGAAAATGAATATTTTAATGGGATAGTTTAAAAGAGAATAGATACCTGGATACTCGTCAAATGTGGTTGTGACGCGTGTGGAATTCTTTTCATAAAGAAAAATCAAAAGCCAGGTTGGGTTACTGACTTTTAACAACCTCGCCTCAATATCCACGCGCTTCTCTAGGACCACTTCTAACTTGGGTTAATTGATTGGTGTGTGTAGGGCTAATCATATAACCAAAAAATGTAAAGGAATATTAATATTAATTTAAAAAATAATTATATATAAATACATTGAGCATTTATATTGTGAATGTAGTCGTGTAAGATTAGGAGTGTGTATGGGGCGGTTTGGTTCGATTATTGATCAAAACCGAACCACAACCATTATGATTGGTTAATGCATTTTGATAACCATTGGATATAGTTAATATTAGTTATGGCCAATGTTCTAAAAAGCTCGCCATGACGCGCCACAACTCCAAGGCTTGCACCTGCCGCCAAGCTTTGCCGAAACGCCGTCATAACTCATATATATGTATAAAAATGAATAATAGTTGAAAATACATATAAAAATATTAATTATATTGAAATTTGCCGCCTTAATTCACACCTTACAAACGTTGTGACTCGCCAAGGCTCGGAAAAGCTTGAGGCTTGACATTGCCGTCAAGTCACGCCTTACGTTATTTAGAACCTTGGTTATGGCTAATTGTTTTTTTTTCGGTTAACGGTTTGGTTAATGGTTAATATTGGTTAACCATAATGTTCAAAATAATATAAATGGCGAACGTATAGTTGCATAAAAAAAATGAAAAGCGAATACAAAAAGTCCTCGACACCAATGTTTGTAACTTAGCTTATAGTAATAGAATAAAATGTGTACCTTTGATAATCAAAGCGAGATAACACATAGTCACATTCAAAATCAAAAACATTAAATAAAAAATATAAAACATTAAAAAAAATTGACATTAATAACTTCATATATTGATAATTGATATTAACATTAAAATAAAGTCAAACATCCATACATGTTCAAAGCGATTAAATCAAAAACTATAAAATAAAATAGCTAAATATTTATATGACGTGTTATCTGGATAAAAAAACATTCAATGTGATTAACTCAAAAGCAGTAAATAACAAAAGACAATTTTTTTTGAAAAATACATTCTTAAAATATCAGGAAGTGGAGAAGAACCAAAACTTAACTTACCTAGAAGTTTTGATTATAAATTAAAAAAATCATTTGAATAGAACCATAAAGTCAAAACAATCTCTGATTAGGATTAATGGTGTGAGAAACCTCCAATTATGATTATGAGTGTGAAAATTAAACTAATTGTGAATAATGTTTACAAATTATAGAATTAGCCGATTAGGAATTACAACATTAATCAATAATCCCACTCAATGCATAATTGGAAAATTGTGTGTGTTTGCATGATCTACGTGATCATCCTTTGATGGTTTGATTGAACGATCGTCTCCTGATAAGCGAGGATTAATGAATTATATTTTGAAATTTTAATAGATCTTAAATAAGTTTGACTATATTATTTTATATATAATCCATAATTTTAAGTATTAAAATATAAAGTTAGCGGTTCGGTTAATAATGGTTCGGTTAACCTATAAAACCATAACCGAACCGTTTGTTATCGATTAACAAAAATTAGAAACCGAACTAACGGTTTTTAAAACGGTTCGGTTATTATGGTTCGATTATATTGGTTAATTTGGTTATGATTCGGTTTTTCGGTTATTATGCTCACCCTTATGTAAGATGCTATTATAGATCGATTTTTTATTTTGTGAACGTCACATGTATATGCATCATGTTATTTTGCAAAAAGTCGTTACAAATTACAATTCTATGTATTTATTCTACTCTCGTGAAATAGTAATCATGTTAAAATATCAACTACAACCAATTTTGTAGTTTAAAAGAAAATACTATCACATTGACCCAAAAATATTACAAATCAAAGTGTAGCTATAAAACACGTGATAACATGCGAATTACGTTATTTCACGAGTTTTTATATGTTTTGTAAATCATTAGGGAAAAATATCTATAACATATTACAACAGAAATTAGCCAGATTACTGGGTATTAATTCATATGATTTCATTTAGTTGCATAATTCGATTATAGTAGTTTCACAAGAGTATGTATACAAGAATATATACTTTGATGTTTCGAACAACAATTCGCTAATTGGGGTCGACTATCAAGTAACAAATAAACTGATATTTTGGGACCATTTGAAGCGCAAATCCATTTGATAGGTGTATCAAATTTTTGAAAATTCGAGTCAAAATTAAGTTCTCCTAATTAATCTCATAAGTAAACATTTAAAGATTATATACTATGATATTCAAATATTCCTTCATAGAAATGAAATAAAAGAAAATAAAGAAATATGGGGAAATCAAATTTGATCGTCTAAATTGGGATTTTTTTTATTTATTTATTTTTTTTTTATTTTTTTGCGACAGTTGGCATTGCGATGTTGTTAGTATCTGTTTGGGAAATCTTCTCCTCCACATCTTTGTGGGGTTTCCACATGCATTCGATAATTTTGTTGGTCCAACTATCCCCACCCCACCCCAAGCGGGACAAATAAACCAAATGCACTATATGTCGTGAGCAAACAGTGAGATTCTAATAGAGTTGTATATAATATTAATTAGGCAAATTCAATGTGTGTTAAGGTTACATAGCCTATATTTTGCTACTCCTCACATAAACATCAGATCATGTTTCCAAGGGTACAATTAACAACTTCAATTTACCCAACTTACTGTGAATGGGTAGTGTTGTTGAAGTTTGATTATATTTCAAAACATCACATAGAGTTAGCCAAACATGAGATAGAAACTTATTATACTTGTATACTAGTCAGAGGTAATTGATTTAAGGACACTATGTAGACGTGAGATAGAAACTTGTTATACTTGTATACCAATCACGGGTGATTGATTTAGGGACATTATGTAAACATGGAAATTTCCCGAAAGAAAGTTTTAGTACCATTAACACGATCAGAAGATTTCTTGCACGGTACAAAATGTGACATCTTTGAGAATCGAGCTACTCCTCTTTGATTCCTTGGAAGATTAAAAATAAAGTTCATGGATATGTTTTCCCAAGTTCTTGTCATAACTAGAAAAATTAGGGTCAAGATTTTATTCATGTACAAACAATTTCTCTATGTAAGGTATACCCATCCCAGTACTACTCCCACCGAGCACGCTTAACTGCAGAGTTCTTATGGGATCTGCTGCCCTCACGACTTTAAAACGCATTGTTACAAATAAGGTATACACACCCCTTATAAGGAAATGTTTTGTTCTCTTTCGAAGGTGTGTGTGTATATTCGGTTGGCCGGAAAACATGGGAAACCACCATGGCAGCCAACTATGGTGGTTGTCACCTTACTGCCGCCATCAGCCACTGTGTTAGGTGGTTGTATGCCTGAAGTTTTGTTCATATGGATGTTTTTCTACATTGGTGATGTAATGAAAGCTGGTGGCCGGATTTTAGCTCAAAAACCACCACCACCACGAGGTGGTCGCTGCCGCCGTGGACGACCATCGACCACCACTGCCCGAGGTGGTAGTGGGTGGTGCCCGACTTAATTAACCCAAATTAACATGAAAACCTAATTTGGAACCTTATTAAAAACTAGTTAATCTAAAATCTTAATCTTGGACCCAATCGAAATGAGCTTGAGTTGGAAACCCTAATTAGGGTTTAAAAAACCCTAATTTTGGGAGATGTTAGTTTTGGATTGTCGGGACCCTCGTTTGGACCAAGTGGGTTGAAGTCATAACTTATGCCGATTACGTTGTATGTTTGACCTAGTGGAGTGATGGACTTAATGGATTAAGTCCTTAATGGGTTAAGTAAGTACACTTAACCGTAATCGTCATTTTATGTGAAAAAACCTAATTAGGTTTGGGTTCTTGTTGGGCCATTTCTTGGACTAAGTCGTTGTTGGCCTTCGTGGGCCAATTGGGAACAAGTTTATGGACTAAGGAAATTATTAGGCTTTAGGATAAGGCCCATTGGAAAGGTTTGGGTCAAATTTGTAAAATTAGGTCATAGGTGGGCCATAATTGGGCCTTAATGATTATGATATATTGGACCATCAGAATGCTAAGTGTATGGACTAGGATTTTGAATGGGATTTAGGGTAAGGCCTATGGAAGGGTTTGGGCCCAATTTGGAAAATTGGGCCAGAAATGGACCTTGATTAATTGCTTGGCTTTTGGACCTTCAGAGTGTGAGTTAAGGCCTTGGTCTTGGACCAAGCTAGGTTAGGAGTGGAATGGTCTTTTCACCCCAAGTATAGACTTATGGTTATGCATTGAAACCCGAATATTAACTGGGTTTTGTTTTGATATTGATAGTTCGAGGATCTGTCAGCCAGCGGCCATAGATATTTCTGCGGGACCTCAACAATGAGAGGTGATTTCCTCACTGTTTGTATGGGTCGAAGGTTCCAATGCCGACCCATTTGGTTTATGTATTGTAGGAAGACCCGGGGGTTATCCCTAAGCATTATGTATGAAAGACTAGGAGGTGGCTCCTGGCACAATGTATGCTATTACGTATGGTAGGAAGACCTGAGGGTTAGCCCTAGGCATTATGTATGAAAGACCAGGAGGTAGCTCCTAACACACTATATGCTAATTGGCTAAGTAGAATAGTATGTATGCTAGTTGTCTTTGTGATGCTTGCATGGAAGACTAGGAGGTAGCTCTTGACACTTGTCTGTAAAACCGAGGGGGTGGTCCCCGGCTTGGCAAAAAAGACCACATGGCGGCCCGTGGCATAATGGCAAGACTATGTTTTGCACATAACATTTTATTTGATTATGATATGTGAATGACATGTATGACAGTATGTGATTTATGTGCTTATGCGCTAGACAGTATCCGGTTGAAAGTGTCACACCCCCAAACCAAGGATGGCGGAAACATCCGGGGGTGGAGGACTTCATGTATAGTATCATAATCACAATGGCAATAGTAATTTAAGCAAACACAACAAACATATATATGATTGAAAGACTTAGATCATTGTATAAATTAC